TTCCCCCAAACCCCTAAAATATAAGATCAATTCGTCAAAGCACACAAAATTACACTTAAGTGAGCGTTTTCGAGGCAATAAATCCACACCGTAAACTCGCAGACTCGCAACTCGCAGACTCGCAACTCGCAGACTCGCAGACTCGCAACTCGCAGACTCGCAGACTCGCAACTCGCAATATAGCCGACCTCCTTTTTTATAACTACTAATTATGATGATGCCAGCCTAACAACACTTGGTCATGCTATTTGCAAATATTTTCATGTTCTAGATTGTGAAACAATCAATTTCTAAACAATTGAGTAGTGATTATTTCAAATTTGAATAGCATGACCAAATTTTGAGGCTGGATATGCCACTAATAACTAAAGTCAATGGTGTAATGATTATCTAAGAATGTATGTAGTAATTGTAGAAATAAAGACATTTTGCTAATCATGATTTGAGTGTTCTTTTGTGGGTATCACAGACTTATTTTGGTGCCATACTATCTTTGGAGAGTAAGAAATATTGGAAATTTGTATTGACAACATGTTGCAGCAATAAAAAAGGACCTTTGATAAAGGTATTTGTTTCATGTGAGCACAAAATGTAAATTTTACTCCACTACCTAGTTTATAAAAAAATCCAATAAAAATATTTCTATTTATGCTACATGCTTGAAACTTCGGGTACTTGTAGATCATAACCGTGTCTTTCAGTCATATTCATAAAATTTTTTGACATATTTGAAATTTGAGCCGCTAAATACATTTATGCATAATTGCAACATTTTTTTATATCATAATTTATGCAAATTTATGCGAGTAAATCGTTAACCAAGCCCCGGATGAAATTGAAATTGGTATCGTTAGAAAGCAGAAGTCCTCCTCTTTCGAACGATGCAATTTCTATTCTCGTACGATGTATACTTTGAAAGATATATGCGTTTAAAACAACACCACTCGAAATTGCCACTTTTCGACCGGATGGGAATGAGTTTCCTTTCCCTTTTAATTTCCTTTTCCTTTCCTTTAGAGCATACTAAGACAGTTAATCTTTTGACTCAAGCACTTACAATAAACAAACATGGTTGAACAGCTAAAATAATACAGGGCCAAAACAATGGGTTGTGTTCATGTACTTGAAAACTGGTAGATTGAACGATCAAGAATTATTAAACAAGCGAAACTCGACGAAGTACTGATAGTGTAAAGCTGCAGCCTCGTCCCCAGGCTCCAACTCAGAAGCGCAGAACAGGAGGACTTTTGTCAACGCTGTCCAAATCCATCGCGGGCGCGAGCAATTTTCTCGTAAAATTTCGGTTTTCAAATTTTGTCAAGCAATTGGAAGGCCCCGTTTTAAAACTTTTCGGATTTGTAACGCCCTAGATCTTGAAAATATCCATATTACTTTTGTTGACTGTTGTAGAGTAAATTCTTAACAAAACACAAATGATTGTGTTTATGCGCTGCGATTGCAAAGCAAACTAAATTTTTAATACGAAAAAGATGGCTGGTGATCGATGTTTACGTTCATATGTGTCGGACAAGGCTTCGATGGACATGGTATAATCAAACCAATAATTTATCAATCTGCTAAGAAACTATCGTATAGATCAATGAAACTTGATCCTCGATTTATCGGACGGCAATAAGTTACAGAATTCGAATACGAATGGGTTATAACTGGATACGAAATAGGATGGTATTTGGCGGTATGGTTACGACACCGTCTTGTATTAGTTTGAGGTGACGTCCGTATTTGGAGGGGATTTACTTGGTATTAATAGATGCTGATGCTTTCTTTAAGGTATGTGATATATTCTTTACAATATAAAGTAACTTTTTGTGCCGCAATTTTGGTGATCGCGTCATTTCGGAAAACGATCAGCAGCAAAATGTGTCAGTGCATGTGAAAAACAAGATTTTATTTGGGTACAAGTTTCAACATGTCAACAAGTGGTTTTCTACATCGCAAATTCTGGCAAGTCCGGCAAAAGACATTGGCAAAAATTGTAAAATGATATTAAAAGCATGAATCGTGGCAAACCTAGGGACGTTGAGGCAAAAAGGTAAAATGCACTGAGATATTGATTGTTGGTGGGTCGCAAATGTTTGTCGATTGAAATATGCATTCGAGGGTAGAACTGAACATAAAGACCTCTACTATTACTGTAAATATAGCCAATTTTTCAATACATTATGCCAAGAAAACAAGTAGACTATAAGGAAAACGTGTTACAGATTTGGGTACATTGTGAGATTTAATTTTAGCAGGTATAAACTAACGTTTTGCACTTATGCAGTCGCATATTCGTAAACATTTCTGCATACGAATAGCCAGCGAGGATTAAAGCATTTTTAAAACACGACTAAATTGCGAACAGAGAAATAAAATGGCTCAACAAGACAACAAAGTCAAAGATTACAATTAGTAAAAAATCAATCATTTTAATAATCTGGGAAGCGTCTCGCTAAGGTTTTGATAATTATACTCCATGAGGTTCTATCCTTGTATATGAAGGGACATTATGATTGCACATAGCTTCGTTTTCTTCAAAAAAATGTATAATTATCTCGTTTTCCTCGTCATTCCATTCTTTCTCTTCTTTCGCCTTTGCCGCCTGCAAAATTTCGGCTTTCATGTACGACAAAACATCCATAAATTTCCATTGTGACTTTATTTGGTTTTCTTGTTCTTTTTTTATTTCTCTTGCTAATATGCTGTCCGGGCGCTGTGCATTACGCGTTTAAAAGTTGCTGAAAGAAGATTAAACATTTCACAAATTTCCGCTGTCGCCTTTTGCCTTTGAGCTTTGTTTTGATATGCGACTTTGCTTGAGTCCCACAGGCATGGATACACTTCCAACTTTTTGAACAAATTAAAATTTTGTTCTTCAGATAATTTTGTATCAGTAGTTGAAGATGACGTGCAGTCTTGTATTATTTCAACGGTGTCATCTTCGCCTTGTTGTAGTGTCGCTCCCAAAACGTACGCCATGGTGTTAATGTTGATAAAAGTAGAAGTGAGTTTTCGCTACATATTTCGGCAACTTGCAACACAGATGGGTATAGATGGGTGGTAATACGCGCAATATTTTGCTGCAACTTGTAACGCAACAATGTAACTTGTTGCTCGTACTATTTCACCTATAGGCAGGGGCGTAGGAACCGGGGGCAGGGGACCAGGCCCCCAAGTTTTCAAAAGTGCCCTTTTTTCGGTGAGATCGCCGTTCGCCTCAATAGCCTTTGATTTATGATTGCATTTATTTTAGTGTTTTGGTACGTTAGGAAAAATAATGCCATGTGGAAAAAAATAATGCAATAATGCAATCCGGAAAATTTTTTGAGTTGACAAGTTTCAAAGCGAATTGCGTCATGTTCTCCACGTTTGCATCTGCTCGCGCATACTCATACAAAAGTCCCCCCTGTTTGTTTACAATAATACTTGAAGTTTATACTTCCGCTCTTAAGTACGGTTCTTTACTAGTCTCTTTCGTGCTTTGCTCTTGATATGATGTTGTGACGTTGTGTGATGGTCACGATGGTCACGAGCGTGATACAATCAAAATGGCGGAAGGTCATGGATTTTTTAACTCGTTCAATAATACAAATTTCAAATAGCTTTATGAATGCAATAAAGCTATTAAATAATGAAGCTAACTTAACTTACGCTGGTAGTCGTATAAAGTGGACCGGTAACCTTAATTCATTAAAGAATTATGTCGAAAATGTTATTGGTTTGACCGGGACTTGGAAATCACCTGGTGGAAATGCTAAGCAGTTTAAAAGTTCAACGTTTGATTTTACCTTGACCTGGTGGAAAGGATGGTGAGTAGACCGCGAGTGGTCCCTCGAAGAAATGAGGGACCGCAGACAACACAGTAAGAAACGAAATACGCCCACTTTTCGCTCTTGTCTAATTGGCTTCGCCTTTGCATAAACATTACTATATCCAATTAAATCTATCCAATAGGAAACCGTTAATGTCGAGGTTAATGTCATGTTTATTTACAGGGTGTATAAAGAAAGGTAATCGAACTTCAGCGCGCTATTGTACCTGAATAACTCGGCGTATGAACATTTTTCGTATTCGAAAAGATGAGACTTTTAGTTGTTGAATGACATGTTTTCATGCCAAATGGAGAAAAAATAAGCAAGTACATGTCCGATAAAAAATGTTAGTCAGAATCGCATATTAACAACGGTGAAAATATGCGATCTGACTAGCATTTTTTATCAGACTCGTACTTGCTTATTTTTTATCCATTTGGCATAAAGAACATATCATTCAACAGCTAAAAGCCTGATCTTTCCGAAGATGAAAAATCTCGTCCCCGAGCCGACGGCGCGAAGCGCCGTGCGAGGGTACTAATCCCCCCGGCTATTTACACCCGGGGAAACGTAAGCATTAGCGGAGTCTAAAGTTCATCAATTATCGCGGGCGTGGGTCACCATGCAACGGTGTTGGGTGGATGGTCATCCTCACTGATCTCAACAATATGGTGGACAATCACGAATAGCGGACACTGATTGGTCCAATTTAAAGTTTGCATTATAACGACTGCATGACGACAGCGAAATAGCAAACATTTCTTGATTTGATGATTGATAAATTTCTTGCAAATATATTTCATTTTGCTCGCATTTTTGCAAGATTTTGTAAATTTCAAAAGCTCTCTGAGAAAGAAACTGCGAAAGAATCGGCTAAAAGAAGGGAGCCGACGTTAACGAAGGTAAGTTTGTTTTAAATATTGATTTTATAATGGATTTAAAATCCGACGGCTTTTGCGTATATGAAACAACTAAACAAAACAGCATATAATTTCAGTGTATCTTTAATATTGATTCCTTTCTTATGATATTGAATTTTTTAAATAAAAAAAAGCAAAGTTATTTGCAAACTCAAAGTTTATCGATAAAGCCATTTTAAAAGGCAGTTTAGTTTTATAACACTATAGTGACTTTGAAAACGTTTTGCGAAGCGTTTGTGGTTGAATTTTACTTTAAATTGAGGCTTATATTACGCATAATAACATACCTAACATATATATGTTGGGAAATTAATAATTTTGTAATTAAAAGTGATATTTTTAGGCGATTTTTCATTTGTAAGAATATTCTTAAAATATTATCGTGTTACCATGACAACTACTTTAGATACTTCATGTTGGAAAATACAATGGTTTTGTCAGCAAGGCGAGGGTTTCTGCATGCATGTATTTTCTAGTTCATACGCGGTAATTCAGACACAATAGCGCGCTGACGTTCGATTACTTTTATTTTGACACACCCTGTATAAATTAAATCAACATTCACTCTGGAAATTATTTATAGCATAATTACTACATATCAGATTTGATTGACAGGCGTATCGATTTCGACCAATGCAACCTCCAATGCAACGACCACTGGGAATTTTGCGTTGTGTGGGCAACGCGGTTTCATTTCTTGACTGTGTTGTCTGCAGTCCCTCCTTTCCTTTCTCGTGCCCGGAAATCTAAACCCGCTCGTAGTCTAGATGCATGGTGAGCTATTCAAACAAATTCTGGTAACAGTTTTAGATACAGATCATATAGTAAGACAAGCAGATGCTATCTTAAACAGTTTATCAGTGAACACAGCGGAGCCGCAAGGTACCAACAATAATGCGAGCGCTCCCGAACTATTACAAACATCGGTTAAAGACTGTGCTTCTTCGACTTGCATAAATAATGACCGGCCCCTTTAGTCTAGGACCTGTATATGAGTTTGTATGCATTTCATTTAGAACAGATAATCTCAACTGTTTTAGGGTAAGTTGACCATGACGGTCAACATGGTAACGCTGCCCGAACCCCAATCCGGGGCGAAACGTCCGAAACTGACCACACCCAAAAACGACGCTTTCGCCACACTGCTATCTACCAAACCATAAAAGCTTTGGCTATTCTGAGGTGCTTATATGGTTCAGAGATGGTACTTTTGGGGGTGGTCATTGGTAAGTGTGAAATGCCAAGCACTAATATTTCACAAGAAAATGGCCATGCAATAATCATAGTTAAACGTCAATTTGTGGCTTGCAACTTCAGTTAAACAGCAGTGGACTTACATTACCTTTTTCCCTAAATCTTTTGTATACAAACATAAATGGTATTTACTTAAATATATTATCACTGGTTTGGTGTAAAATAGTTAATATTTTCTGACCGAAATAATAATTTGAAATGTGCCTATACCTCCTGCAAATGGACGTATTTGGCCAAGTTCTCCACTTTACTCCGCTGTTTATCGGCGATCTCGTCGACATTCTACAAAAAATGTAAATCATCTCAGACATAATGGTATCAAGAACATTTTAAACAAGTTTCAACTTGGTTTCAAGTAGATCATACCTGTTTAACCATCGACAAGGTAAATCCACAACTTTGTCCAAATTCAGCGCCATTTTGTCATCCCATGTCGCTTGTTAACAATTCAGCCTTGTTACTCTTCCATCCAAGCCATTTCCATTCCACTAATAATAAATGTAACCCTTTATAACAGGAGGAAACTAAAAAATCTAAACAAAATATAAGAAATTTAGAAATTTAGTTTCCTCCTGTTATAAAGGGTTAAATTTATTATTAGTGGAATGGAAATGGCTTGGATGGAAGAGTAACAAGGCTGAATTGTTAACAAGCGACATGTGATGACAAAATGGCGCTGAATTTGGACAAAGTTGTGGATTTACCTTGTCGATGGTTAAACAGGTATGATCTACTTGAAACCAAGTTGAAACTTGTTTAAAATGTTCTTGATACCATTATGTCTGAGATGATTTACATTTTTGTAGGATGTCGACGAGATCGCCGATAAACAGCGGAGTAAAGTGGAGAACTTGGCCAAATACGTCCATTTGCAGGAGGTAGGCACATTTCAAATTATTATTTCGGTCAGAAAATATTAACTATTTTACACCAAACCAGTGATAATATATTTAAATAAGTACCATTTATGTTTCTATCAAAAAGATTTAGGGAAAAAGGTAATGTAAGTCCACTGCTGTTTATCTGAATTTGCAAGCCACAAATTGACGTTTAACTATGATTATTGCATGGCCATTTTCTTGTGAAATATTAGTGCTTGGCATTTCACACTTACCAATGACCACCCCCAAAAGTACCATCTCTGAACCATATAAGCACCTCAGAATAGCCAAAGCTTTTATGGTTTGGTAGATAGCAGTATGGCGAAAGCGTCGTTTTTGGGTGTGGTCAGTTTCGGACGTTTCGCCCCGGATTGGGGTTCGGGCAGCGTTACCATGTTGACCGTCATGGTCAACTTACCCTAAAACAGTTGAGATTATCTGTCCTAAATGAAATGCATACAAACTCATATACAGGTCCTAGACTACTTAGTACGGTTGATAAATTACTCCATCGAAAGCCAGAAAAGCGCTATCCAACTGCGTCATCAACGACTGAACTCGTGAATAGATTTTCAGATTTCCTCAGTAACAAGATTGCTATTATACTGACGGAAAGAACATTGATTCTTCCCAGCTGAAAATCAAGAGGAACGATATGCACAGTGCGTTAAATTCATTAACTTTCAAGAAGTCACGGAACATGAGATTAAAAATGTTATTGATAAAGTTGGAAAAAATCTTGTGAACTTGATCCAGTCCCGCAAAAATCTTTCAAGGTTGTCATGCAGAAGACTCTCTTAACTATAATTACTAAGATCAGTAATGAGTCACTTCAGTCAGGTTGTATGCCTGAGAAACTAAAAGAAGCCGTGTTGAAACCAAAACTAAAGAAATATTCGCTGGAGTACGAAGAATACACAAATTTCCGACCTATTTCAAATTTCAAATTCCTGTCTAAAGTAATTGAGAAGGTTGCTGCCGGTCAGCTTCTGGAACATTTGTCTAATAACAACTTAGAAGAACCCTTCCAGTCGGCATATAAACGTTTTCATAGTGCAGAAACAACCCTATTAAAAGTACAAAACGATATTCTTGTAGCCATTGATAATCGTAAGTGTGTGGTGTTGCTATTACTAGATATCTCAGCAGCATTCGGCACTGTTGATCACGAACTTTTACTACAACGAATGTTCAAAAGATTTGGGATAGATGGGCAAGTGTTGAAATGGTTTCAGTCCTATCTTCAGAATAGAACGCAAAGTGTTGTGATTGACGGTGTTAAATTTATCTCTAAAGACTTGCGCTGGGGAATCCCACAAGGATCAGTTCTCGGCCCTATACTATATTTACTATACACTTCACCCCTTGGTGATATCATCAGAGGTCATGGTCTTGATTTTCACTTTTATGCAGATGACTCGCAATTATATCTCGCTTTTGAGTCAGCCATTGAGGGAAAATTGGGAGCACTGGTACAAATTGAAATGTGTGTGAAAGAGATTGATTTGTGGATGGTCAAAAATAAATTGAAATTGAATGGGGACAAGACTGAGCTACTAGTAATCAATGCACGAAATCGTTTATGCCCTGCTGTAGAATATATAGAAGTATCTAATTCAAGAATTCAACCAAGTACTTCAGCACGAAATATTGGTGGAACTTTCGACCAACACATGTCTATGGATAAACATGTTACCAAAATTTGCAAGAACTGTTTTTTCCGTTTGAGAAAAATAGCAAGAATAAAAAAGTAGTTATCAACGTCAGATTTCCAAACTTTAGTTCATACCTTTATTACATCGAAACTGGATAATTGTAATTTTTTATTATACGGATTGCCTAAATTTCTTATTGATCTGTTACAGAATATGTGCAAAACTGTGCTGCTCGACTGGTGACAGGAAGCAAAAAATACGATCATATTACTCCATTAATGAAACAATTACATTGGCTCCCCATCATTCAACGCATGATCTATAAAATTGTTCTTATTACGTATAAATCTCTGAATGGCTCAGCTCCACATTACATTAATAATATGCTAAAACCTTACACACCATCAACACTAAATTTACGCTCCTCATCCAAAGAATTGCTTACAAAGCTTTACCATACCCTCAGTAAAACTAGTGAACTATGGTGAACGATCGTTCTCATATGCTGCACCGAAACTGTGGAAGGAACTGCCAGAGTATATTAGAAAGAGTGAGACCTTGCCTATTTTTAAAACCAGATTATTAGCAATTTTATAGTACTTTATATAGTTGTTGTTTTAATATTGTCGACATACATGACATAAAGTAATTTTATATTCTTAACGAGAAGATCATATAATTAATTTTTTAGTAATTTTATAGTATAGTAATTTTAGTAGTTAATGCATGTACTATATATGTTCTAACACTTAGTATATATTTTTAACACTTAATGTTAAGCGCTATTGAGCTACGGGAAATGGCGCTATATAAATGAATTATAATAATAATAATAATAATAATAATAATAATAATAATAATAATAATAATAACATAATAATAATAATTAAAATCATCGACATACCTGAAAAATATTTATAAAATAACATTGATATAACGCGTGCTCTGATTGGTCGAAACCTGTGTTTGGATCAGGCCATCCAAACACGGAAATTTAAAGTGAAAGTTTTTTAAAGTGAAATTTTAACACGGAAAGTTGTTATTTTACAAAACAATTACTTTATGGTTTCCGTGTTTGGATGGCCTGATCCAAACACTTCGGAATGTTGCTTGAGTTAAGGAAAGCGCGCAAAATCACTCGCGTTCGGCTCGTGTCCGTGATTTCGCGCGCTTTTCTTAAGCGCTTTTCTTAACTCGAGCAACATTGCCAAGTGTTTGGATCAGCCATCCAAACACGAAAGAGGTTATTTCGCTGGCCTCAGAGTGACAAAACGTAACAAAGCAACGGTTTTACTAACACTAACCCTATTCCAAACACCAACTCTAATCCTAACCCCAACCCTAACCTTAACCCTACACCAAATTTGTTTCTAAACCAATCTTGAAGAAAAAAGATTTGACGAAATGTCATTCTGAGGTCAGAAATAGTTGATGCCTCCAACACGGAAACCATAAGTAAAGGTTCCCTAATACACTCTAAGGTACCCTAATACACCCTTAGGTACCCTAATTTCATTGTATTTTGATATACTATAATGAGGGCTACATGAAGTCTATACCCCAAAACTCTCAATTCGCTGACCAAAATTAAAGAATATCGCAGGCTTAGAAGTATCGGAACCAAATAACCAATCGATATTTCTTGCCCTCTGGGCAAGAAAGTATCGATACTCTTCTTCAAAAACCTGGTATCGATAGTATCATAGTATCCGAGTATTTGGTATCAATATCGCGGCCAGGAAATTCGCTTGACAATGACACCACTACCCATTTGAAGCTTGCTAAAATTTCAAGTGTTGATTCCTATAGTCAACGATTCCTAGCGATGGCAGACAAAACATTGCACAAACGAAGGCATTTTGACGTGAATATTCCATTTGAAAATAGTGAGCCTGTTATTGTTAAAATACTGTTGGAAATCAAACCAGAATGGTCTAAAGAGAAGCGGGAATTTAAGTATTTCACGGAAGGCATTAGCAACAAATTGGTCGGCTGCATGTTGCAAAATGGCTCTGAGAAAGACCTCATAATGTTCAGATTATACGGGAATAGAACCGAACTGTTTATCGATAGAGAACAAGAGTTGGTAAACGTGGAATTCTTACATGCAAGGGGATTCGCGCCGAAGTTGTATGCCACCTTTGAGAACGGATATTGTTGTGGTTTTATCCCTGGACGGACACTTGAAACGGAAGAGATGTCGGACGAGCACTTGAGTGCACTTATTGCAAAGAAATTAGCTCGTGTTCATGCAATAGAGTTGCCAAGTGATTTTAAAACTGGCGAGCCGTGTGCCTTTAGTATGATTGAGAAGTTCCTTAGTGTATTGCCTGACAAGTTTGATGATGATGTTAAACAAACAAGGTGGGTATACTCATAGGCAGCCCAAAAATGCGTGGTATTTGTCTCCTGTATGTAGTCTTATAGCTTGGAAAAGTTCTGAAAGCTTACATGTGGCACTCGGGCACAGAATATTAAAAGGCACACAGAACGTCGACTAAGCCGAAAGAAACATAACCGCTGCCACGGCATGATTTGCAATGATTCGTCATCAAAATGCTGACGCCATGGTCCTAGCCAGTGCACTTTATGAGAGGCATTCACCTCCTGGACACAGAACAAAGACACACAGAAGGTCAACTCAGCCAAAAAAGCGTAACTGATGCACACCGTGATTCATTATCAAAATGATGACACCATGATGTCATTGATGCCATGATGTTATGAGAGGCATTTCCCACTTGGACATTAGCAAATTTGAATATTATAAGTGCACTGGCTAGGACCATGGCATCAGCGTTTTGATGACGAATTACGGTTACTCCCAAATCATGGGAAAAACCAAGAAGTTGGGCGTCTGTATATGGGGCATCCATTTAGTATGTACGCAAAATTTCCAGAATATTTAACACCCCCCTCCCCTTTGTACGCAATTGTACGATTTTTTGGCTTCCTCCCTATGCATACACATGCGTACAAGAATATTCTATAAGCGACCCCTTACCCATCATGCTCAATATTTTTAACCTCAATTTTAGCATAGTTAATAGAATATATAGATGGTTTGGAAACTCATTAGAATAACCAGGCATTCCAACTCTCCCGATTTTACCGGGAGTCTCCTGAAAATTCATGCAATCTCCCGGTCTCCCGATTTTTATCAAATTCTCCCGATTTTTCAGAATATTCAGGAAATATCATAAAAAATTATAAATATACTGTTTTTAGCAACATAATAGTCTGTCTTGACCTTTTTTGAAGTTGCTTTATGGCAATTTATAGGATCACGTATAACAACATAGTCCCAAAATGCAGGAAACGCCATTTCAGAAGACTTAATTTTTATTGTTCCCCCCCTCCCAGAAACGGACTTCAAGAACTAGATTTCAATTCACTGAACAGTCTCCCTAAATTTTACCTCCAGTAGTTGGAATGTCTGAATAACAATATAACTCATTATCTATGCTAAAATTAGTCAACGTTTATTAATAAATCTGGTCATTCACCGTCACATGTGTATTGTATTTTTGCCAAATCCACCAAATAGCAATTTCCCCCATTGTTTGAATCACAGATAGGTAACATTTTTTAATTGGGTAAAAAATTAAAAATACAATATACACACATGACGGTGAATGACCAGATTTATGAATAAACGTTGACTAACATAGATAATGAGTTATATTGTTATTCTAATGAGTTTCCAAACCATTTATTCTATTAACTATATAAAGTATGATTTTAGTAAATGTTGACCTTCCATGGCATTAATTTTCGCTCAATGATTATAATTTATAATGTATTTTTAAAAACAATAACACCATGATCAGCGGTTGTACACTGTCGCACCTCACTGCTTCAAATTAGCCGCCAATCTTGCAATCTTTAACTTCCGGCACACATGCTTTTAAAGTTTAAACCTCAATAATGCATGTTTTATTCGTTTTAACGCTGCTTTTATTTATTTCTGTTATCTTTGCCAGTATATTTAAAATTATTACATGCATAATGCTTTTTTAAAATATATACAAACAGTACACTCACTTAGGGAAGCAAATTTAGGGTTTTTGTTGGTCCCAAAATATCATTATGCGTACGTACGAAACAACAGTTTAACCCCCCTCCCCCACTGTACGCAAATGTACACATCGATCCTACCCCCTACCCCTCTCTCTTTGCGTAACTATGTACATACTAAATGGATGCCCCCATAGTTTCTATTCTGTGTCCTGGACGTCCGCCATTTTGAATATTATCAGGTTGAACAAGGTTGTACTGCACCCGAAGAACAAGTTGTCAACAATTATCAATGTTGTCAACTGAACAATGCTGTGACAACATTGTTGACGACTTGTTGGTACGGTGCAGCACAACCTTGTTCAAGCCCGTCATTATCAAACAGGAACAGGTATATTACCAAACTCAACAATATCTTTAGTTAGTTTGGAATATTGCAGGTAAGCTAGTATATACAATATGGCTCACAATTGTTTTCTTTTTTAAAGGTATGAAAAGGAAATTCTTAGTAAGGTAAATGTGGTGGATGAACTGAAACTTCTCAAAGACAAACTTGGGAACTGTAATGTTCCACTTGTTTATTGCCATAATGATTTACTGGTCAAAAATATTATCCGCAACAAGGAAGATGGTAGGTCTTGTTTGTAATTTTTTTGTAAATTGCATATGTGCAGTAATTATATTTATATTTCAAATTCAATTCTGTGCTTGCACATGACGTCACTACGTGTCATTAGGTGCCATCTTGGTTGATTTTAAAGTTTTATCCAGCCGTTTACTTCGAAATAGTTGAGTTACTCTTATTAATTTAATATTTTTTGTTAATATTTTGAAAACAACTTACTGTAGTATGGATAGTTTACGATTTCTGGCACAATATATGACAAAGAAAGAAGAATATAGATTTTTAGATGTTTTGAAAATTAACCAAGATGGCGTTGATTGCAAACGAGCAAATGATCATGAACGACAACAGATATGGGAAGTTTACAGAGTTCATAATTAGCGATCTTTGAAATCCTTAAAAGTCTGTAAATTTGAATCCAGGTCCCTATAAGGTCTTTGAAAAGCTTTTAAATTCTTTAGTGTGAGGAAAGTCTTTAAAAGTCTTTAATAATAAATGCTTTAGTGAGTATTTGAAAATACTATTTCCTAGCTAAATATAAAAGAGATTGATTGAAGCAAGATTTTTTGCAAATATCGACGAAAAGGTGCATTTTAGGATGTGATTTGACAGCCGAGGACTAATTACCGGTAAAAATGGTGCTTACACTAAGGCGTAAAAAAAAAATACCTGTGGTTCCCGACCGACCCTATTTTTTTTTCAACGCGATTGACCGTGCGACCCTATTTTCTCCAGGTGGTTGCGGGCTGCTCATACAGCGTGCCAAAATGGCGCCAGTGTTGTCACAATAATTATTGAACCAAATTGCCTCAATTCGTCCATAGGAAATACGCATCTCTAGTTAATATTGATGTCGGGACTCTAATGCAAATCGCCCAGCAAAATCGCCCAGCAAAATCGCCCAGCATAGCGTGGCCAATTCGCCAACATGAATTGAATGTGTACTTTTGAACACCGGCTTAAAATTTACAGATTGAAATAGCTTTTCAGCAGCGGTCAAAGCTTTCTATTGTATTTTTTTAGGTAAAACTTCCTACTAGACTTTACTCTTATTTTTTTATTACGGCATGTTCACACCCTGAACTGGTCTTGCAAGAGAATCACGAGGCATAAACACACCAGGGTCTTAGCTAGCATTTTATATCTTGGACGTGTTTCTAAATTTTCAGGGTGTGCCCAGGTCAATCACTTTGAATACTAGCCAAAAACATGATTCCAGTTATGCTCGCCAACAATACACTATACCTGTGGTTGGTCTATGCTTTTCAACCAAATACAAGATGAGCATACGCTGATATTTTGCAACGACGTTATAATAAGTTATTTTAGCAACTCTTGGGGGCATTTAAAGCCATTTTAACAACCATATGGTGCCCATTATTCATCAAAACATTAAAACATCACAGATCACTTCATGGCCAAAAACAAATAATGCCGCATTCATTCAGTCTAGCCGCGTTAACACGGCCAATACGGCCTTCTAGCTAAGACCCTGAAACACATGGATCTGTGGGGTCAGATTTGTCTTCAAGAAAAGATAGGTATTGATAGGTACAGTAGATAATCCGAAGATAGCGGTCCAGTTATATTCATTTTACTGCTTTATGATGAAATAATGTTTGTATAATTATGTGAAAGAATTTGAAAGAATTGATTGATTTTGGTGTTGCTAAAGCCAAAGAAAAAAATACTTGGGTTTCTAGTTTCCTGACCCTACCTTGCTTTTGGCTGCAACGCATGTCAGAAATTTTCCGGACTGTCAACTAAAAGGGCATAGTACAAAACATGGACTGGACCCATGGACTGGACCCAAAATTGGACTAAAAATTTTAGCCAAAATTTTGCCCAAAAATCCATTATTTTTTCGGAGAGAAACAACCCTCAGAATATCGTGCTTTTATTTAATTTGTATCTTTAGGCAAAAAACTTCACGTTGCATCACTTTTCCTTGACCTATCTAGCTATTTGTCTTCCAAAATTCTATATTCTATTTTCTAAACGTTATCTAGGGTATCTCGTAAATAATAAACCTTTGTGAAATATCTTTGCGCAATGGTCACAAATACATCACATCGATATAAATCATTCCATCAATATATACATCAATATATAGTTATTTAATTATATACCTGTACATTTTGTGTCTGTATAATATGGTCCCTCTATATATTCCGGCATATACACTATGTCAGGTATATCCTCTAACGAGTAACGAGTTCGCGAGTTTGCAACGAGAAATAGGAAACACGCCGGGTATTTCTTTTTTTGGCCTAATAGTAAGTTATGATTGTATAAGATTTTGTAATAACAATGCAAAAATCTTAATCCCATTTTATTGTACGTATGTGTAGTACTTAGAGGATAAGATAGTAGACAATGTTAAAAGTATAGGTAGCAAATAAAGTCATAAAATGGGTTAAAGGTAAAATCACAGCAGTGCCCATGTAACTTCTAACCTATTATGCAACTATTTGTTGCAAATTTGTTTCTCGTCAGGGGCTTTCTCCAAAGTTGATGCAGGCAAGCGGCCATTTAGCATTATGCCATATGATTATGTCAGACATGGGGGCGTGGGATGAAAAACTAATAGAGGATAATATTGACGTTTACGGCATGTTATGTAGCTACAGTAATTCCTGCTTCTATGCATGAATTACCCTAAATTGAAGTAACTTCGAACAACTATAAGTATAAGTTGAGCTGAAAATACAATTTGAAGTTTGACATTTGTGGTTAGCGTTCTGCCATAAACGTCAATCTTAACCTGTCTATTATGCAACCAATAGTCACCTCATATTATTCCTACCTTACATTGTAGATGATGTATCATTTATTGACTATGAATATGGTGCGTACAACTACTCTGCGTTTGATATTGGCAATCACTTCAATGAATTTGGAGGTAAGAATTTATTTTATCTTGTTTTGCATGTTGAGTTAGCATGCATGTACATACAGCATGGCCGAATTTTGAGGGGAAGTATGGGGAGGTGTGCACCTCCCCTAAGATCGTTTAGCATCTCCCCTGAGAATTTTTGCACCTCCCCTTGGGAAAGTTTCAATGATAGATCAAAGTGAAAATTTGAGATTTTTTGGTTGCTTATAGGGTCTACACTTCGTAAGAAAGTTCTTTTCTGTAAAATTGAAACAGTGAATCCGAGTGATAGCCATTCATCTCTGTGTCAAGTACCCTTTTAATGCAATGTTTGGAAAGAAACGTAGTAATTGTAATGAAGGGCAAAATTGGATGAGTTGTATGTACAGCCATAATTCATTAATACACTGATTCGTATGTTCACTATGTGACATTGGCCCGTTCTAAGCCCTAACTTTCTATGGACCGCTGCACCTCCCCTAATTTTTCCCCCTCGCCCACTATTTCCACCAAAATCCGGCCTTGACGTACAGGCCTTAAAATATGGGTCGGTCACGGACATTGTGCGGCCAATTTGTGAAATTGTCTGCTGACGTAGAGAGAAAGCCACTGGACATTCTACCTACAGTGTAAGTGAAACTGAACTGAACTCATTGTTTGTCCGACCCAAATGAATTGGTCCGACCTAATTGTAACTTTGTTCAACGTAAATCGAAGTATACCCTAGTCCAGGACTAGAGGCTCGTATACTGTATTCAATGGTGAATCATTGTACGTAATGTACGAAAAGTGAACTGGAAATGTGTAATCAAGTGCCGGGTTTTCACCGCGGGGTTCGGAAATCCATTGCCAAGATTCAAATGACTTCCCAAATTGTGCTGATATTGATTTATGTCTGTATTGTATTTCATACTGTACATACTGTATTTACAAGCCAAACTGAACTCAAAGTCATCGGACATCATAATACATACGTTCGACCCAAACTCAATGTCATCAAACATTTTGTCAAACGGTTCTCTGACCGATATTTTAAAGCCTGATGTAGAGTATAAGATGTATTATATATAATCCAATAGTGATATAAATTACTATTCTTACATGTATATACAAAAATGTAAAGAAAGTTACCAATGTCCCTGACCAAACACCACCCTGAATACATCGTTTCGGAAAGCACGTCACTTTGGCTATAGAGCCTTGTTTTCGTGATTGAGACTTTTGGGTTTGACTGCATGGGGCTCTTTAGCCAAAGTGATGTACTTTCCGAAAGGTGTAATTTAGTATTAAATTTACATTTTTGCAGTTGGCTAAAACTAATTTGCAGTTATTCCCGCATACAGAACATCTCGAGCGAGGCCAGTGAACTACGTAGGATGGGGGCCCTGGGAATTTTTTTAGAAATTATTAGACATCAGGAGGTCAATTTTGGCTATTGGAAATATCACTCAGGATTTTGGGTATCAACACTCGATAGAACTAATTGTAGAAAGTCTACGATTAGTTATATCGAATGAGATGCCCAAAATCCTGATATTTAACCATACACCTTACATTGGCATCACCTTAGTATATACAGTACATATACAGTACATGAACTTGCGGTTGGAGCTCGACAGCCTCTAGCTGCATGTACCTCAGTTGATTAGAACGCTGCATGCACATGAATAGACCTTTCCCCTTATAACCAAAATTTTGATCTAGGCAAGTCTAGACAAATATTTCATCACAGCTTGAACGAGCGTCACAAAATTAGTAATATTCCAAAGTTTCGTTGCGAGAAAATAGAGCCTTGCGAAGTTTGCAATTTTCAGTCATTTTGCATTACAAACGGGAAATTGCAGCCCCAACACCCGAATCGGATGTCAATTTCCCGTTTGTAATACAAAATGACTGAAAAACGGCAAACTTCGCAAGGCTATATTATCCGCATTTACAAGATTTTGCAACAAAACTTACTAATTTTGTGATGCTCTTTCAAGCTGTGATGAAATTTTTGTCTAGATCGAAATTTTAGTTATAAGGGGAAAGGTCCATTGCAGGGCCGTAACTTCGATTCCTACCAGAGAGCCTATACAGTAGTTGTATTGCTGCTGCTGGTCAGTTCTACTAACTTTATAAAATTCACGCTCGGAATTTCCATCTACAAAGTAAAAAAAAACATTCTCACTTATTAACACCTAATTAACGTGACGGGATACCTATTAATTTTGTAAATCTGACTACAACGGCCGTAAAAGCGGTAGAACGTGCAAAAATTACTACAGTAGGAAATTTCTAATATACTTGTGTGCACGCGACCATCTGACACCTGTGAATTTAGCTGCACATTTATGTTTTGATACATATTTACTTCATTGTAGGTGTTGTGATTGATCCAGATTATAGTTTGTATCCTAATAAAGATTTTCAGTTGAAGTGGTTGAGAATATATTTGGAGGAGAAGGCTAAAGTTCAAGGTAAGGTGGTCTAACAAAAATATCCTGTGGTTCTGGTTTCATATCCTCAAAAAATTAGGGTTGGTTTGGCTAAAAAAATTAGGGTCGAAAAATCGCGGAAACGGCGCGTGGCGAACCCGCAAACAAAAAGGCTAACAACATAAAGAATGGTGAATTTAGAGTGTTGAAATTTAGTTTATGGAAACTTTTTCTCTCGTTCAACAGAAACGAGAATGACTACGACTTCCTCGCACGCGATCAAATCTTGTACTCGTAGTCGCTGCTAAAGCTCCCTATTACCCTCAGTGATGATATTTCAGTGAAGAATATCATCATTTCGGTGATATGTCGCCGAATCCCCTTCGCATCGCTCTAGAAATAATAAATATCACAGTTTTCTTTGCGCAAGTCTCGTTGAAACCTGCAAACGAGTTAGTTCGTATCATACAAATAGCCCATACAAAAGGAATACAATTACACGAAACTTATTTTGCTTGTACAATTCTCGTCCGCCAGGAACAGGAGACGTCATTACTGAAGAACAACTTGAAAAGTTATATGTTCAGGTCAACCAATTTGCACTGGTAAGAGTCGCTATTACTGTAGAAATCTGTATATCATTCTGTTAGCCAATTAAGAAATAGAACACATCTTCCATTTTTCCATACAGTTATAGAAACACGCGTGGGAGTTCGCGACAACGTGGATTATTTCATGTACATACATTATTTCATTTCGATACACTCAAGATTCAAAATGAATCTGAAGCAACCAATTCTTTTCGTAGTTTTAACGAAATTGTTTTACTAATTACAGTGTATATACTGTATGTATCTTCTGATTGATGCATCTGCCAAAAACATGCAATATATACGTATTGATCCTAGTTTAAATTTTCCAAATATTTAGAAGCGCTATAACATTTCAAGTTATTTGGTCTACATATCTTTCAAAACTTTCTCTCATTGGCTGTTTTATTATGTTTCAAAAACTACGTCGCGTTGTCGAATCGCGTTCGGTGTGTCTGGATCTTAAGAACGCGCAAAAACAATATTTAACAATTAGTCGCCGAAGGCGAGGTGATTACAGGCCTACAATATATTCATTGAGTCGAAGGCGAAGTGACTATATAGGCTTCTGTAATCACCGAGCCTGAGGCGACTAATTGTTTTAGTATAATTTCAGTATTGAAGAAGTTTTATTTATGAATACAACTAATACACTTGATTATGAATATGGTTTGCATAAATAATTTACTTCCGTCTGATATTCAGCCATTTTTTGGGGGAAAAGCGATACTTACTGCTCAGAGCAGTTTGAGCAACAACTAATCAGAGTTCGTTACTGTTGAGAGACCAATCAGAATGCTCAAAGGCCATTTTTCAATACTGAAATTGTACTAAACTATTAATAATCCTTAATTTTCAGTAAGTATATGATATATTTATTAAAATGTGAAGAAGGATTATATCTTTTTTTAGGTATCGCATTTGTTTTGGGGTGTGTGGGCCTTGCTTCAGGCAAATTTTTCATCAATTGATTTCGACTTTCTATTGTAAGTTAAGTTGCGAAAACTACCATGCATGAGGGTAAACATATTTGGTCAAGCTTTCGATCGATATTAAGCCAGGGTTTTCATTAGTGCCATTAACAAAGCGGTTCATGATTGCATGCATGTCACTGAGTTGAAATTTCATGATGTTCTGGGCTTATAGATCGAAAGCTTCTGCCCAGGGTAAGTAATGAACGAAGGTAATTCATACGATTCATACGTGCGGGGGCTAAACTTGGGTCTTTAGATACATCAGGGGTGTGTCGGTTTGTTTTGCCCGATGAAAGAGTGGTCACAAAATAACGTAAAGATATACTGGGAGAAATTAAAAAAAAAAATGACAAGAGTCCTTCAGGGTTAGCGTCGAACGCACCATCCTCGTCCTCATGAGCGGGCCTGGGGACGGTGATGCAACGCCACAACTCTCGAGTGGCAAAGGCGTGAGACCCCTAGCACATACGCTGCCCAGAGATTTAGAGTGTCTGAAACGCCATTTCTTGCCCTTTGGGGGAAGATTTTTTCAGAATTGTGATGGTCAGGAAATGACGTATATATATTGGATTAGCAAATGTTCTTCTAAGTCTACAAATGAATGGGCATTTGGTAAATTTGCCATATACAAAATTTCCGTTTTCTCCATAACCACCCCCCTCCCCCCCCCCCCAAGGATTTACGTCTGCATGCGTGCGTCTCCCATACTATCACTAGCATGTAATACGTATTTGTTTTCCATTTAGATACAGCAGGAATCGTTTGTATGAATATCTACGCAGGAAAGATGAGTTTCTAAATTTATAAAACAATTAAGATATATTTGTGACTATTCCATTTTACATTGTGCATGTAGATGTATAATGTACCCAATCACATCAATTACATGTATTATGTAAACTATATTATTATATTTTTATTAGATTTAGTCAATGCATATATTATATACTATACATTATATTATACAATTCTTGTATTCAGATTCACATAAACCAATATAAATGGGAAAAAAAGTAAAGAAAAGATTATTGAAAGCATTATGGTTTCAGTAGATCATTTAAAAATGTTTGTTATTTGCTAATGCACGTTCTTCTGGAAAGTATGCAACTTTGGCTACAGAGTCTCGTTTTCGTGTATGCGACATTAGTTAATTAAAGCCCATCTCAATCACGAAATCGAAGCTCTATAGCCAAGATGATGTACTTTCCGGAAGCGTGTATCATTACCTAAGCAATAATTTCTTCTTTAATATCTCTAGTTTGATAGTAGTTGCTATGATTTCTTCTCGTTTGGAGGTGAACCAACTTTCTGAACTTTCGTGTTTTCTTCGAAGAAACTACAAATGTCCGCCAGAATTCTCTTATTATTGGTCACTCGTGGTTTTCCTTCATGGAGCTCGGTTAAAACACCGCATAGATTTTCTACTCCACCATTTTGGTAAGTAAATTCCATATGATTCATCCTCAGTCCACTTCTGGCAATCTTCATGGCCATTCCTTCGGAAACCTTTCCAGCCTTGAGAAGTGGCTTTAAGCTTTTGAAATTTTCTTGCGTCATTCGTGAGTGGGCGAGGTAATCCCTGTACCAGGAAACAGTGAAACTGTGTTTTAGCAGTAAGTCGTCTGATATAAATTTAGATACAAGTTTCTGAAGCATGCGTGCGTCGTCGAGAGCATTATGCGCATTATATGTCGCATCCAAGAGATCTTTCGCCAAGGTTGTTTGAGCATAAGTCTTCCTTTCTGGAAACCGTTCACGGAATGCGGTCAAAGAATCCGAGAATCCAAGAACTTTCTGTGAAAACTCGTGCATTTGCTTGCACGCTGCAACCGCGTTGAGTAAATGTCTTGCATCGAATGTTCTGGCATTGTGAGCAATGAGTAAACATGGCATTCTCAGTTGAAGCCACGCCACAAGTCTCGAAAGTCCCTCGTTCAGATATACGCCGTTCACACGTTCTTCGCCTTGGTATAATATTCCACGTTTCTTCCACAGTTTGTTCACTGCCGAAGCCCCAGATGTAATGTGGCCTTTAGGAATAATATAAACGTTGAACTCATCTAAACCATCGGTTGCAGCAATTTGACATATTTCAGTGTCTTCAGCTGTGAAATATTGAAAACATTGTGAGATACCTGCCTTAGTTGCATAAGACTGTCTTGTATGTACACAATCTCGTACCCTAACCTGTTCGCAGGCCAGGTGGTGGGCATAGATGTGTACATTGATTAAGTAAATTCCATAAGAGTTTAAAGGCCATGTTACACGGTGCAATTATTCTTGCAACTTGCAATGCAATTGTAGTCTTGAGAGATGTAAAATTGCCAAATACGAGTCTTCATTACACTCCGCTGATGTTTTCTTAACATATCGAAAAATTTTCACTGATTTCACTAATTAACATCTCTCGAGTAGAATTGCATTGCAAGTTGCAAGAAAAATTGCACCGTGTAACATGGCCTTAAAAGGCGGGTGCTTAATTAACCTCGATTATACCAGCCGGCATTCGGGGAAGGCCACACGGCTGGTAATTGAGTCTAGTGCTTAATGGGCTCAATCTGCATGCAATATTTCAAATGAAAATAGAAAAAGAACCGTAATTTTTATGAAACCTGCAACAGCGTGATGTGTTTCAGTACATCAAAAAATCTCTCGTAGTTCATCCCAGAAATGCAGGGTAATGTTACAGGCCCTATAGTTTGAAATGCTAACACTCTAAAATGGGGTAGGGACACAAAAATGAAGGTTTGAATTCATAGGGTGCGAGTGCGGAAAGTGTTCATGAACCATCAAAATACACCAGGCCATTTTTATGTAACGGACCCATTTCCACTCAAGAAAATTTTCCATGGACAGAAAATTTCCCGAAAATATCATTGTTAAAATTTGTGTCAGCCAATCACATTTTACAATTTTTTCTTTCCGTGGAAAATTTTCGTGAGTGGAAATGGGCTTTTAAGGTTAGTTTCCACTCAGGAAAATTATTCGTGGATAGGAACGGTCAAGAAAATTTTTCTTTGTCTTGTGAGCTCTGGGTTGGAACTAGAATGACTTTAACACAAAGAAAAATTGTCTTGTCCGTTCCAATCCATGGATAATTTTCCTGAGTGGAAACTAGCCTTTGGCCTTGATTCTATGCATGGGCACTCGGCTCTACAAAAAGTTAAAAGAATTATGATTCGCAAAAAGTCCATGTTTTAGAGGTCGCGCGGTGGACTAAATCTACATGAAATTATCTGGTGCTTTGACCACACTTGCACCCTCTGAATTCAAAGTAGGTATGCTTTAAACCATTATTTTTTTAGCGCAAAGCACTTTTAGTATGATTTTTGAAAAAATCCTTCCTGAACACAAAAGTTAAAAGTGTTGTTACGTTCTTCACCTGCCCCTAAATATATAAGGTTTGGCGAATGAAAATTATGAGTCTGCAACCACGTGGAAGAAAACTATCTATATACTTATACGGTCTAAGATATTCAAATATAAGCCTGATACAATTGCAAACACTTTGACAAGAGTATCTTTGCTATAAATGTTAAAATGTCGGACACTTGGTTACATCCTGTATGTCAATTCAAAGTTGAAATATAGTAGCCAAGTCAAGTGTTTAGCTCACTGTATATAGCCGACAATAAAACCAACCTACTGTATACCTCGAGAAGACGTCTCAAGATCCACCACAATTTTAGTGACTCCTTCTTCGCCTAAAACTCTCCTGATCTCTGGTAATGTCACAATAGCAGGAACCTCTGATACAACATCTTGTTTGCTTGCTACACACTCCGTCTGCTTACGCTCGTTTCCTGCAGTTTGTTTAGACTTGCTATGTTGACATGGCTTTGTATAATTGTACCCTCTCTTTGTTTCACTCGTATGTTTGATGCTGGGTCTGCTTAGGTTTAGCTTGGTTTGTTTATACGTCAGTGTAGTTTGAACTTTGTTGGGTTCAGATTCTGCCTGAATAGTTTGAGACATATATATTTTCAGTCAGTTAAACGCGTGATTCATAGGACAGTGCTCAGAGTTCAAGATGATATTGTCAAGTCTTACTGTTTGCACGCATGAATGCAGTGCATAATTATTCGGTTGTTGATTCAATTAGCCTTTCTCACGATGACGAATATCCGCCATTTTTGGGTGGCGTCTAATTCTCGTTAACCGATGCAGACAATTAAAACAATGTGAAAACCAATTTTTCAAAATAAACTAACCATTTACAAAGCAAATTTACCATCAATCGTCCAAAAAACTGTAAAAAGTCACTGTTATGTCTCACAGACTTCGGCTGAAAAGCCACCCAAAAATGGCGGCATGAGAAAGGCTAATTGAATTGGATATAAAAACAGTCATACTCATATATGAACAGGCCCTTTGTCCTGATCATAGCTTTCGAGACATGGTCTGGAAACTCAGTAAACTTCAAAGCGTCTATAATCATAGTCTTTCAAAACATGGTTTGAAAACTCCGCTAAAGTCTTTGTTCTATCTTTTTGTTCGCGTTTATGCAGTTTTGTGCACGGTGCACGGTCAATGAACACATTGTATTTCAGTATAATAAACGAATCATCCAATAGCAACGTTTCAGTTCAGTCATTCAACCATGATATTGAAATATTAAATTAATAAACCTAAAACAGGATGTGCACGGTGTAAGGTACGGCTCAACATAAAGTTTAAACTGCCAGCTCATTATAGCCGCTTTGAAGTTTACTGAGTTTCCGGACCATGTCTCGAAAGATTATGCACTAATCTGAACGCAAAGATGCGTAAAATATTGACAGCGTGCATATATTATAAATATTGACTTATTAAGAAATTAAAATATCTTTGTAAAGAGCACGATTTTCTGCTCTTGGGAGTTTAAAGCAGCTTTTAAGCCAGTTCTTAGGCCCGTTTTATAAGTCGAATTTTGGTCGCGTCGAATGCAATTCAAACAATAGATAATGAAGCTTAATGAGGTTTATTATCTCATTATCTATTGTCTTAATTGCATTCGACGCGACCAAAATTCGACGTATAAAACAGGCCTAAACGTCGCATTTTACATGCGCCGAATGCATTCAAAACAATGGATAATGAGGCATTTCAGCTGATTATCTATTGTTTTGAATGCATTCGGCACATGTAAAATGCGACGTATAAAACAGGCCTTAAACAGTTTCTTTATGCATAACATTTACTGATGTCAAACTTTTATGCACTTGTGGTTTCAGCAGAGTGCTAAGACATTCAAATTCTAACAATACGTTCTTTCAATAGTTCTGGGGGTTTGGGACACCCTGTAGACAAGAAAACCTGCTCGTATTGGGCTGATTTGAACCACGGAAATGGCTCTAATTAATACAGTAATATGGTCTTTCATTTTTCACTTTCACAATCAGTGTCATGCATGAGTATGGTTATGAAGAATCACAATTTACTGCTTGCGAGCTTAACTGAAACAACATTAAAGTATTTAAAGATACTCTAATGACGATTCTCACTTGGGCCATTTTTTTCCCATTTGTACAAGCTAAATGAGCCGCGTTCTAAAATGAACCTCAGGCGAATAAAACCTGCATCCAACAGGTCAAACGCTGTTCTTGACAAACAGGGTTGTATAGTAGCAATATTGCAAAATGACTGTCTTTACGTGAGGTATTGAGCCGCGAGGTCGCCACTCATTGATCAAAAAATAAAAACGTGTTCAATTTTCAAAGCTAATTAGATTTCTTAAGATACTTACCATGGCCAGTTCCACGTCATATTCTGTTTGGCTTCTGACTATCTTAGCAGCACAAGTATCAACATTTTCCATTTTTATATTTTGATTATTTTTCATATGATGCGAAATAGCTTGACTCCTTACTGTGCGGTTGTAACAGTTCGGTTTTTGACCACGCGCACTCCAAACTGCTCGGTTAAAAACAAATTTAAAATAGCTTTGATATCGAGCAGCCATGAACCAGACAGCCACTTTTAATTACCGTAATTTAGTTCTTCAACTGCGATTTCAAGCACTGATTTCCGACAGCGTTGAAATTTCGAGTCATGTAAATCACTTTTAGATCAAAACTGCCAATTTTAACCGAATTTAATCGTTAATTAATATGCTGTCGAATAAGTGACGTGATATAAACTTTGTGAGAGATGACGATGCAAACGTTTCAACTGCATGCGCACGCGACGTAGGAACGCACGGTTTTAAATAAAACACTCTTTACGTCGCGGAATTTAACTTCATCTTTGAAATGTTTCAACGACAGTTTTGCTAGAGTTCTTTGCCTTTTTCTGCCACTGAAATGCATTGCTTCTTCATCGGCATCGATCTGCAAAATTTATCAAGGCTTACCATGAGATGTATGTCGCCCGGAAGAGGCAGACAAAAAAGAAATTGAAAGTGAAACACGCTATAATGGCATTTAATTCGTTTTCAGTTTCTTAATTTTAAAATTCGAAATTGTTTTAATAAATAAATGTCCTGCTCTGCATTAAACTCGGTTGCCATGAAATTTATTGAAATTTGTAACCCCTCTTTGCATGCCCAAAACACTGACAAACCCGGTATCAGGGACCGTGGGACAGGGGGCGGGGGGGGGGCTGCCCACCCATAAAAGATTACCGGATGAAATCTAGCCTGCCTACATAGCACAGCTCCGACCCATGCTATCCTCCCCCCCCCCCACACTCTTAAACAGGTTCCGCGGTCGCTGGGTATTGTTCATGACCGGGCACTGGTTTAGTTTCAAGTTATTAAATTTTCCTTATTTGCGAGTCAACAAACCTTAATCGTATAAAACACTAAACCATTGTCATTTTCCGGTTTCATTTTCTTGGTTAATTAAGTTGCTATTTACTTCATTTTTGATTATTTTAAAATTATATTGTCTGAAACTTCCCCTTTACTCTGGTTAACCACGACTCCTGCCATTCATATATGTCCAATATAGCCATCGGTTGTCAGGTGGTGAAGATGTTGTAAGATGGTGTCAGATGCGTTCTGTACCATCTGACAACCCTTCCCTGTATAACCATCTTACACCATCATACACCATCTGACACACTTCGACCATTATACACCATCTGACAACATTCTTACATACTTCGACCATCATACACTATCTTCACCATCTGACAACCCTTCCCTGTACAACCACCCTACACCATTATACACCATCTGACACACCTCGACCATCATACACCATCGTACATCAGATGCCTATATTGGAAATTACTCGCCATATGCTAATTAAACAGACCTGTGAAGGTGGGCTTTCGATAGACGGAAGTTTGGAAAACACCATTCTTACGAGAAATGCTGATATCAAGAAAGGGAAGTACGTGTGGAACTAGATTCAACTTCACTGGTGAATTTAATATTAGGGTGTTGGCGATTTATATAAGGGAGAAATTGAGGTATATGATCAGCAGACTGGAAAATCAAGAAGCAGTTATCAACATAGCGGCCGTACAATAATGGCTTAAAGTTGACAGGACAGTTATTTAACCAGTTAGACTCGTGAAAAGACAGGAATATATTGGCGAATAAAGGACCTAAGGGTGACTCCATAGCAACGCCGTCAATCTGTTGAAACAAAAGCCCATTAAACAAAAAAGAGCAGTTTTTCACAGCAAGACCAAGAAGTTACTTAAATTCCAATTGAGTCAGACCATGAAAGCGAACAGCATTAGAGAATAAGCGGTTTGAAATTATGTTAATGGTTTCATCCAGAGGAATGTTGGTAAATAAGGAAGTGACATCAAAGCTTGCCATGACAACGTTGTTGGAATCGAGATTGAGGCTGAGTAATTCCTGGACAAACGAGAAAGAATCTTTAACCATATAGCACCTGAAGAAATGGGATTGAGGAGAGGAATAAAAATTTAGCGATTTTATACTACTACTTCCACTCTGATCCACTCCTTTTTCTACTTTTGTAATAATATCTTGTAAATAGTTGCAATTAATTCATATTTCTATGTTTTCCGATTTGTATGTCATTGCTCTGAAGATGTCTTAAGTTAAAGACGAAATGTTAGCTCTCTAATAAATATCTTAAACTATATTTTTGTTATAGCTCTTACGTATTTTCTGTTGGGCATTAATATTTATCTTATATATATATATTCAACTTACAGGTAAGTCCCATTTAATTTTCAAATTCTACCTCACATTAGCATTCACTCGGAAGTCACGTGAGATATTAGAGCAGATGACCACCAAATAGAGCCGATTTATACACAGCATAAATATTTTATAGAATAATTGCTGCCGAAGGCAGCCTCCTATTCTTAACGATGTGTTATAGCGCATTTGAATTTCCCGCCAAATGAAGTATCGCGTTTACTTGTGTCCAGTCTCTTTGCCCGAGCTATGTATTGTCGAGATCTCGATTTTGTGTCCGTCTGTCTGTCTGTCTGTCTGTAAAGATGTCGTAATTCCGGGGAAATAATTAAGGCTTCAGGAAGTTTTTTTAAACGAGGGGGGCGGTCAAACTTTATTTTGTATTGCACACGGAGCAAGTTCTTCTCAAAGGACAGTTACGAGCCAATATTTACATTTTCATGATGCAAAACATGGACAATATTTTCAATAATTCAGGTAAGGATAGCTTTATTTCTTTTTGGTAATATACATGAAGGCATTTACAGTATATTTAGAACACTGTGATATTTCATGAGTTTAGATTCAGCACGAATTTCAGAATTTACCCTGCGGCTGCACTGTCACTGATCGTCTTTATAGTTAAATATACAAGTAGTCAAAATCTGTTTTTAGTTTATTTGTTTGTGTGGTTATTTCCAAAGGCGATGAGTTTATAGTGTTTATTCGACATGTTTTAGCAATGTGCTTTCAGCACGTTTTAAAAACAAACGTGGAATGTTGTGTAGCAGGGCTTATAATCAGGCTTTAGTTAATATTTAATATAAAGATATCCCTATAGCAATCCAGTGTGGTATAAAAGGAGGGGTGGCCAAACATTTTCTAGTGGGATGCAAGCAGCACCATCAAGCTTCGGCAGGAGTTAAAGTTTGGATTAAAGACTTTCACCCAAAGTAGGAGGGCTGACGTGAAATTTTTGGTGGGGTTGAGCATTTTATAACACCTCGGGGTGTTATACTCGGTACTAACCCCCCAGGCCCAGTAAATCTGCCCATGGCTGTCTGCACATATTAACTTACCAGCAGTTATATGTAATAGCATGTCAACCGACTTTTGTACAAGGTATGACGGTTTGTAAAAATATATCTCTGAGATATGTCCATTGTCAGCATATTAAATAAGGAATAATCCTACCGGCCTACATAATACATTCATATATTCACCTATGGCGGTGTCACTACATTTCAGGGTATACTATATTTTCTCGATAATGTTCACAATTTCTTTCTTATTAATATACAGTTTTGAAGTTATGACTGAGTTATTACAAATGAATGGTGCCATCTGAAGCTGATGTATTAAATTAAACAAAAATGACAGTTGTTCTGTGATAGGGGTAGTTTTGTATTATAGTATTTCTATACATGAAATTGTTATTAAATTTTACATGTCCAATGATTCATTCAAGTATTATTATTGTTGTTGTACATTTATTATATAAAGTATAGTGCTTTATAGAGATTTCGAGCACTGATAAAACTGATAATCTCACATGTGAGATTATTTATGATAATATCTCACATGTGAAAATTATCGCTTTTCAATAATCGCTTTTCTGCAAAAAATATCGCTTTTCAAAGACTGTCCTTTTTATAATAAACAGAAAAATAAACATAAATACTTGGAAATACCAGATTTATTTCTCGAAATTTCCGCACACCCATGTATTATTCTCTATGTAAATATATAGTATTGTACAGTATTCAGTGGCAAGCTAGTCATGGCAACTCGTCATGCTATGCTCTCTGTGCTATGCCTATGCTGATAATCTTGCATCTATTTGAATGATACAAATCATTAAAAACTTGCATAGCATGACTTGTTGCTATAGCTAGCTTCACCAATGACAGCATTATAAGTATACAGTGCATTGAAGGCATTCATATAAAACGACAGGTGGCCAGGCTCTGTGTGGGTATTTATTTATTTTTTAATTTTATTATATTTTGCATTACAAATTTACTTTAATTTTTTAAATTATAAAGTATAACTTACTTAGTTTCCTTTATGTATTCTTTATGTATTTGGGGGTGGTTTTAGTTTGATATAATGATATAAAAACATCATGAGAGTAATGGCAAAGCGGGATCATATAAACAGCCCCTTATTCAGCCAATTGTGCATGCTGCCTTTGATCCCTTGGGGGGGTGAGGCAGCACTTTCCTTGCGATAGTAACTTCTAGTTTATTTGTAATTAATAACAAGTTAAACCATAACATATCACTAGGTGGCTGATTACATGGACTGATTACATGGACCTAAGGGGCTGATTACATGGACCGGGCCAGCCCGGTTAACCGGGCTGAAAAATGTCACGAAAATCTTCCTTGGGCCGCAAAATGAGTTTTAAATCGGGTTTAGGATAATTTTGCATCTATAATAAACCAATTATTTATCGCAAATTTATTTTACACGAGTTTTAAAACCACAGTAAGGTCCTAAACAAACGAGTCAGCCCGGTTAACCGGGCCAGCTCGGCACCATGTAATCAGCACCTAAGTATGCTGTTTGCAAAGGAGTCTGCAACTTCCAATGCCAATGGTTTGTCATAATATTTTCCGAAAACTGACGAAGTTCTCCAGCCTGCTGTTTTGAGTATGTCATCAATAGGAACACCAGCAGCCTTAGCTGCAGATGTGGCTGCACTTCGATCTGGTGTTGTGAGATTTAAATATGTCAACATTTATTCCTGCAGCCTTCATTATACATTTACCCAACGGGATATTGTAGCCTTTGTAGCAGGTCCATGAGGCTCAGCATAACACAACAATAACTGATTTCACTTCCTAAACTTGGAAGTTCTTTCCAAATAACAATCAAGAGTATCAACTAAACATAGTTTCTTTTGTACATGATGTCTACAGGGCCGCCGAGAGGGGAAGGGGGCGGGGAGGGGGGGGGGGCAAATTGCCCCGAGCCCCCACCTTAATAGGGTCCCAATTTGAGGGCGAGAGCCTAAAATTGAGTAGTTTCTTTAAATTAGCCAGTCAATTTTTGAAATTGAGGGCCCCTTACAGCACCTCCACATGCAGTCTAGCTAAGGTCTAGTTGGGTCTAGCTTAAAAATAATGATGTCATGGGACCCCCAGGTATGATTTTCCCCGGCCCCGCGAATTCTCTCGGCGGCCCTGGATGTCTAACAAATTTGATTGGTTCAAGGTGCCTGAATTTACCATCACCTAGTTTTTGTCCATCCAGGGTGATAATGGATGACAATGCGCTGCGTGTAGAGGCCACTGCACTGTATCCTAGACGTTGAGATTGCTTGGTGAGAAATTTAAGTACACCCTGAACTGAGGGTGCTGTGTGATTGAGATGTATCCGCGGTCCCTGAATTTAGTTGACCTCCATCGGAAATTTTACAAGCTTCCATGGCTAGCATGTGGTCGGCACAAGCTCGTTCGTCAGTTGGTTGAAATGACCTTACACCCCCTCCCCTGAAACATTTCCTGGGGACGGCCCTGCAAGTAAGATTCCCTTTCCTCGAAGAAACGCAAATAATGGTTTCATAAGTGTGGTAAAAACACGAGTGGCACTAGAAAGCCCTTTCGGAAGGCAAGTGAACTCATACAGGGTGCCCTCAAAGTTAAATCTATGGAACTTTCTGTGTTCGCTAAAAATATAGGAACAGAGTAGTACGCATCTTTTAGATCTAGTACTGCCATGTGGCAGTTTGGTTTTATCAGCCGTGTAATGCTGATACCATTGTTTCCATCTTAAAAGGCTTATAGGTTATAGATTGGTTAAATTTTTTAAATTTAGGATCAGTCTATAAGAGCCATCCTTTTTTGGCCGAAGAAAAATGTTTGAGAGAAATTCACCCTCCGTATGATTCACTTTATGTATGACCTCTTTACTGAGGAGCTTTTTAGTCTCATTAGCCACTATTTGTGATTCTTTATCATTAGTAAACGTCTTATTTGGGCAGACAATTTGATCAGGTACAGTGTCAAATTCAAGTTTATAACGTTCAACAATATTTAAAATTGTTTGGCTGAAGTTCATTCCCTACATTTTCCAACAAATCTTTTAATTTGACCAGCAAAGACGAAACAATCGCCACTTACCCTGTCTTTTGATTTATCTGTGTGCACTATTTATCTGTGTGTACACTGATGCCTGCCTTGTGAGCCTTTCCTCCTCTTGGAGAAACTCTGGCCCCGCAATTTTTCCGACGCCTTTAATATTAAAGGTGTGACTGTGGGTAGTAGTAAAGCTACCAGAGTTCCCATGACACGAAGATTTGTGACTGGGAAAAACACGAGCGTCTATTTTGTTCTTATCGCCAATGTCCTTAAGTTGTTTCTGCCAATCATCACCAAACAGCCAATCAGTGAAGGGCACCTGTGGCGAGCAAAGGGCTGCATAATCCTCGCCATTATCAGGTTCATAAACAATCTTCTATGAATATTCAATTCATAATTTGTATGCGTAAGGACTGGAGTGACAAAGATTCTAAGGCAAGTCTTTTCGCTTGCTGTGCCTTATCTCCACGTACGGTAAGTCTCCCGACATAAGGTCAAACGCGAAAAGGTTTTTGGTGCTTATTTAATAATGCATAATATGGCATCACCGCGTGAAAATGGAGTCTATTTTATATTACTACAAGAGCTCTTTTCGATTGACTTTTTCTGTTCGCAAATTTTAGATTCAAGCTTTATTATCGCTGGCCGCTAACGTTTACAACAAGTGGTATAGTGTCAATTCAATTGATCAATTGTAGAATTTGAAAATCTATGCATAAATATTATTCAACAAAATCACTTTATATAAATATACGTGTTGCCAAAGTCATTCATGCGCATCGTCTGCGCATGGGCAGTTCTACGATTGTCAGATATCTCGCATGTCAGAAAGCTGCACATAAATATTAAATATAAGCACAGATATAAGCACTGATCAGTGGATATAAGCTTTGTCCTTGCTCGGATTTGATGTTCATTCAGCCTCCCCACCCCCCCCCCACCCCCCCTCGTTGCAGAATGCAAGCTCGATTCCACCATGCATGCATGGT